TGAAGGTTCAGATGATGGTTAACAATTTTTAACAATAAAGTACTTTTTAACTAAGTTATGTACATTTGTTAGACATAATGCTGTTGGGCACTTAATAGACTACCATGTAGTATAAACATAACTTTGATATGCACAAGGAAACCAAAAAATTTGTGTGACTTGCATTATTGCAATACTCACTTTATTGCAGTGGTCCAAATACCATATGATTTCACTTATATGTGGAATCTAATGAACAAACTGAACTAACAAGCAAAATAGAGAGAGACTCATAAATGGAGAGCAGGATGGCAGCTATGGGTGGAGGGAGGTTAGAGGGCAGAGGGGCCACGCAAAAAGGAAAAAGGACTCACAGACATGGACAACAGTATGGTGATTGCAGGGGTAGGAGGGTATATGGGAGTTAAATGGTAATGGAAAAACACAATAAAAATTTCAAAAAAGTAGGACAAAACAAAAGCAAATCCACAATAGCTCCAAGGTATATCTCTACAGGTTTAACGTAATTTTTATCAAAATCCCAGCAAGATATATGTGTAAATAAGCTTATTCTGAAATTTCTATACAAAGACAATGTACACAAGTGCCTAAAGCAATTTTGAAAAAGAAGAATAAAGGCAAAAAGTCTCTTTGATTTCAAACCTTGTTAAACAGAGTGATCAATACTGTCTAGTATTGGCGAAGGTTTAGACACATGTCAATGGAATAAAGTAGACAACCCAGATGAAGACCTACACAAATATGTTCAACTGACTTTTTTCCAGTAACTCATTTTTGTCCAACTGGTTTTCGACAGAGAGCAAAAACAATTCAAAGGAGGAAAGACAGCATTACAACAAATGTAGTATTGGAACAACTGGATATCCACAGGCAAAACAATGGCCCTAGATCTAGGTCTCACACTTCATACAAAATTAACTCAAAAGAGTCATGGAATTAAAAGTATTGTTAACTATAAAACTTTTCAAAAATAACATAAGATAATAAAGACAATCTTTGGAATCTAGGGCTAGGGAAAGAGTTTTTGATACCAAAAGCATGATTCGTAAAGGGAAAATTGATAAATTAAACTGCATCAACACTTAAAACATTTGCTCTGTGAAAGATTCTGTTAAAAAGACAAGCTAAGGACTAGGAGAAAATACTTGCAAATCTTCACATATTGGATAAAGGACTAGCATCTAGAATACATGTATGTTTTAAAAACACTCAAAAGTAAAAGAGTATATATATTTCAATTAGAAAAAAAGGAAAGACATGAAGAAATATGTCACTGAAAAATAAATACAGGTGCCAAATAAGTGCATGAAAAATGTTCAATATCATTAGCCATTAGTAAAGTATAAATTAAAGCCCCAGTAAGATATCACTCACTATACACCTACCCAAATAACTAAAATAAAAAATAGTGTCACCACCAAATACATAAGAAAGTGAAGAAACTGGATCATTCAAATATAGCTGTTGGGAATGCAAAATGATATAGCCACTCTGGAAAATATTTTGGCAATTTCTTAAAAACTAAACGTTCAGCTACCATATGACCCAGTAATTGCACTGCTGGGCATTTATCCCGGAGAAATTCAGACTATGTTTACACAAAAACCTGTGCATAAATGCTTATAGCAACTTTATTCATAACAGCCCAAACTTGCCAGATATCAACCAACAAGTGAATGGTTAAACAAACTGTCATGCATCCATGCCATGAAATATTACTCAGCACTGAACAACAGACTACTGATGTGCATGATAAGTAAAACAATGTGGATTTCCAGAGAATTATGCTGAATGAAAAAAGCTAATCCCAGAAGGTTACATTCCATGATTTCAGTTATATTAACAAAATAATGAAATTATAGAAACAGAGAACAGATTATGACTGCCAAGGATGAATGAGGGGTGGGGGTGGAAACAAAGTGGCTGTGACTAAGTAAGGAACCATGAGGGGTCTTCGTGCTGGAATGTAGAGCGTGGAAATGTTCTGCATCTTCACTACATCAATATCCTGTATTATTGTACTGCAGTTTTTCAAGATGGTACCACTGGGGGAAATTGGGTGAAAGGTAATGAGTGGGATCTCTGTATTGTTTCTTACACCTGAAAATAAAGGTTTATCTCAAAATAAAAGTTTAATTTAAAATATTAGCATTACACATATTTTCCACCTTATAGGGAATGGGCTCTGTTGTAAATATTCATACCATCTTAAACGAAAATATTCCTCAGTCATTTCCGTTCTTGATAAGAGCTTAATACAAAAGAGAAAACTTCTAAATTACTAAGGAAAGTGTTTGATAGTAAATCTGGAAAACATACAGAGACAACATACAGAAACATACAGAAAGCATTCAGAGACAACACAGACCAAAAAAATATCCTTTTGCATCCAAGATAGACTAATTAAAATGATATATGATGGTTGTCTCACTAAATCTTGGCATATAGCCCACCACAAAATAATAATTAAATGTTAACATTATGGTAATCTTCGGGGAAATTAAAACATTAAATTTGGCACTGGAAAGAGGTTGGCTGTGGTCAGGAACATTGAAAACATCTTCAAAGGAAATTAAAATGACCATATCACCTAGGTTTGGAAAAACATTTAAAAATAATATCCTCCAATGAATTATAATTTGGAGTATAATTTCTAGAATCCTTTTTGACAGAAAGATCAGCTTTGACCTGAAAGCTTTGCACGATCAGGTCTTCAGCTACGCAAGTTACTAAAACCTTGTATCTTACTCTTGGGTTAAATATCTAGTTTCTAGAGATGTAAACTGGTCTCTCTTTATCCTGGTATGACTTCTGTGTTTCAGATCTACCACTAAACAGCTGATATAAAGCTCAGAAGACATTATAAATTAAAACTGTATCAGTAAATCTTTGTTGAGACTAAAAGACTGCATTTCTAAGTTTTCCACCAATGTTAATAGGTTTTGGACTTAGCAACTACTGTCAAACAGTACTTACAGTAAACACTTAAAAATTTGTACTTTGGGTTTGCCAAAGTGGGAATTAAGGCCCTTTCAAGTTTATTTAAAGACTCAGTTCAGTTCTAGCAGACTCCCTCTCAAACAAGTAAGGGTGTTATGCCTGTAACAACTGCACAGGAAATCTGGTTTTGCCTTCCGCCACTTGCATTTTAGGCAGAAATGCCATCACTACACAAAACCTACAGGAATCCCACTCTGAGTAATTAAGTGACCAACCTCTTAAAAACCTGCCAGAAGCAACAGTGTCTATAAAAATCTATTTACTGTGTCAGTTGCTTAGTTCTATTTCTGCATTTAAAATTAGGTTTTCAAGAAAAGTAAGATATTACACAATTTTTATGTTAACCGAATGATTGCCAAAACCAAGGATTGACATATTGACATAGTATGTGGATTTTAAGAAAACAGGTTAAATGAGACATTAAGAGTGTGTTCTTTATTCCTTTTGATACCAAAAAAGAAAAAAAGATTTGTTAAGGTTTAGGGCAGGGTTAAACTAGACACATTTTAAAGAGCATTTTGCCAGGAGCATTTGTAATGCATTGGCTTTAAAAGCATTCTATAAATATATAGGTTCCAAATTCCCCTGGGGTATTTCCCATCTTCCCAATGCTCTGCCCTCTATGGGAACAATTTTGCAAAAGTTTTGCGTCACACACACACACACGCACACACCACCACCTCCCACACCACCCCACCTTGTTCTGGTTGGCAAAATGGACTTTAGCAGTGCTTCCAAATTTTTTTTCATCAAAAAACCCCTAATGGAAAGCAAGAAAATTCCATGAGGTTTTCCATTTCATGTAGCTTATGGTCTTTCTGCATTTCAGCGTTTCACTATCACGCTAAGCAGTCTGTTGTCACCTCATGTCCCCTCCTTCTGAAGTGTCGGTCCTCTGTACTGCAGGGGAACCAGACACTCTATTTCCTAGACTCCCCTTCAATTTCTGGTTCTAAGTCAGAGTGGAACAATGAGAGGTATTTCCGTATCAGGAAGACAGGGAAAAGGTGACGCCAAAGTGTAGGTACGCAGCAGATACAGGCTTCACAGCAGCTCCAAGATTTCTTGCAGGTCACCTGCTCTGGTGCTGTGAACAGCCACGTAGGCAGGTGGCAGCCCCGAGACCCACTGGTGTTGGTGCTATGAACTGAGGAGGCACGATCTTCTGACGTTTCACGATTCGCAGTGACTTTGGTCCAGCTCCTGAGATCTGCCCTCGCTGTTGCTGTTGCTGCTGCTGCCGCTGCCTGCACACCTTCCCTGGCCTGCCCTTCTGAGGCTGCTGGAAGCTTCTAAGTCTGCCTATTGAACCCTTTTCGCTGACATCAAGTGGCTGTTTTCCTAACTGAATCCCGACAGAAATGTTAAGAGTTTAAATTACCATAAGGGAAAACAAGTTTTCTTGGTGTCTTGTTAACTTAGTGAATGAGATATTGCTTCCCTAATGACTTCGGAAAACCCAGCGGAAATAAAGATGACCCTGCGTGTTTACATTCAAGCAATTTCTTTATGACTTCCTGTGTAACAGTCCTAAATATGAGGGGAAAATGGCTTCCTCTTCATTGATTTATGAATTATGACTGGACAGTGGTTAAATAGAGCTGTCATACACTTTGTAAAGAAACTCGTACCACGCATGTTTCGGCTCCTATTGGTGTAGATTTTACTAAGTGTATTTCCTTGCTCAGAGGTTAAGCTGCTCAAATCTTATGGTAAGACCTCTAAAGAGGTCTGGGATGCACAGGCCAGATTTTGTTTTTATTAACTCAATCATGAAAATATACAACTTTGTTTTTTAAGGAAAGATGCTTGATGACGTTATTTCCCACTGAGGAATTCCATCACATTTAAATGAACTAAAAATGTCACTTGACTCATAGTTTACCCTAAGAACTCTCTTTATCCCATTCTGAAATTTTTATTGCAGCAACCCAGTCACATGTAAAAACCAGTCAATTTTGCTTTTCAAAAAAAATAAAAACTGAACACGTTACCCTTGTGAACTGTTCTTTATTATTAAATGATGGACAATGGCATTATACAGGTTATCTCTTATTACAACATTCTTTTTTTCCTACATAAACAAGAATTACACCAACTAGAAAAACTCTTCTGTACCTTCCTTTTTAAACTACAGACTAATTTTTTGGAACAAGAAGTCTTCAAAAGTCATTTCTTTTCTCATTATAAATTTGTCTAAAAAGATTGGTATTCCAAACACTTTGTGTAGAAAAGTTGACCATTTTTAACAAAAGCAGTGAGGACCGCACAGGACCCAGCGGCCACCTGTCCGAGGAGCAGTTCTGTCAGTGGTGCAGATGCCGCCCCTGGGAAGCAGGTGCGCTCAGCGGCCCAGACCCCGATGCCATGCCCATGGTTCGCTGTCCTGGAATGAGTTCCATCTGGCCCGTATCTATGTGTTTTTTGGAGTTGATCCCATCCTCATAAAAAAACAAGCTGCATTATGTTGAAATGAAACCAGTTACTCTTTTATCATCACTGTGCAAAACCAAAACATTTTCATATTTAATGACCAATATAACGGCCAAATATGTCATGCCACACTGTCATTCCATTTAAGTAAAGAAACTGGTTAAGTTCAGTTGGAGTCATGTGAGCAGGTCTTTGGAGCACACTAAAATGAACAATATGCGTCATTTGATAAGGAAACTTCTTCAGTTTGAGATTCAGTTTGCCTCAAACAGATTCAGATATGCTGATGATCATTAAAACAACTAATTTTATTTCCTATAAGGTAAGCTTTGACACCTTTCAAAGTGATTCTAAAACTAACCTAAAGTTCAAAAATTTAAAAAATTGGCTACTGTAATTTTTTCATTTTTTCTAATCAAGACTATTCTTTGTGTTCCAAATAGTGTGTGCAAATTTCTCCTTCAAGGTTAATGATTCTTAAAAGAACACAACCCACTAAAGTTCCTGTTTTTAGTCACTGATCTGTCGTATTTAAAATCATGTATAAATTATTACACTTTAAATAAGAGCGCTAAAATCATGACAAAAAAATTAAGTGCTTTTGCTTACCACAAAATAAACAGAAGTAAATGTATTTGCCTTTATGATAAGAACATTTATTTATCAAGTACAACTGTGGCACAAAAATGCAAGTCATTTGTGAGAGCCATTGGGACTTTTCTGGCCATAAGATACTGGTACATGACATTAAACAGCACACTTCCCTGCACTTACAGAGAAAAAACATGAGGGAGAAAGCCTGACAGGCTCATGCTGACTTCAGAACAGGCAGGCATTGCATGGACTCTCCCTCCTCGTCACTCATCCTGTTCGCTAAAGCACGCCGATTCTGGTAAACAGTCTCAAAGTTTCTAATCACTTACAAAAAAGTTTTCTACAGTCTCTTTTGTAGAAAAAAAAAAAAGTTTTACTGTCATGCAAAGCAGCTTCTACCTGTTAGTGGCAAAACCTTTAAGACTGCCAAACTAAAAACTGAGTGACCCAGACCTCCCGAAAGATGGGGAGCCGCTGCCTCGGGCTGCGCCCTTCTGCTGGGATTTCGGGCGCACGGAGGCAAAAGCGTGAGGTAAGCGGCAAGTGTTGGTCCCATGGAAGCAGAGTCCTCATGAAACAGAACTCTCCAGACACTTTTAAAATCATCTTTATTTTGATTGCAAATGTACAATTTAGTTAGTTAATATTTTATTTGTTCCATCTGAAATTCATAGCTTGCCATGTAAAACACTGTCTCCACTATCAAACTGCTATATAAGAACATTATAAAATGCAAACTATAAACTAAGATAATCCTCTTTACAGTATCAGATTAGTACAGTAAAACAACATTGACTTAAAAAGGCAAGTGAGTTAATTGGCAAACATACAATTCCTTTCCTAAGGAATGAAGGTACAAAATGGTGCTCAAGGGAAACACGAAATTTTAAGTGCTGGGTGATTAAAAACAGTAATTGTGGCACAGTTACCTCCCCAATAATTTTGACCTAAGGATACAAAGGTAACCTTTATTCTATAGGATATAAGGAAATTAATTTCCATTATAATAGCTGTGGAAATACACAGCAGAGTAACAGGTTGGGATCTTTAAAATTCTAACACAGTAAGTATTGATTTGTCATCCTCTCCATCCAAATCACGTTAAACATTTATAGTGGTTACACATTCCTCAGTCAACGTCAGATTTAAACAGAGCCTATGTAAGAACAATCTATCCTTAGTTTTATACTAGGCAATCTACAGCAGATGCTTATTATATGCATATCAGGTATATGAAATATAGTAGGAAACTGTTCACTGATTTCATTCAGAATAATCAGGAGTCTTAAAAGAAGATAATGTGTGCTGGTATGAACCAGAAAAAAGAGCCAACATAAACACATCATTTTTTCAAGTTATTGACAATATTTCCTCTGCTGGCCCTAATCAAAATGAAATTTTTAATGAAGCAACACAAATCTGGGGGCATGTTACAGCTGTACACATAAAACACACACACCTTTACATTCATTAATTCCAAAACCTAAGTCAACAGGATAAATAAATTATAAATGAAAGACATATACAAAGTGGGCAAAAAACTAAGTTATTAGACCAAAAAGTGTGACACTATGCCAGCAGTGATATTTAGAAAAACGTTCAGTATTAGAAAACATCAGATTTAATCCAAAGGAAACCTCCCCGCAATAAAAATAAAAGTATGGGAACCACCTTTTATGCAATAGCTTTAAAATAATAATTAAAAAAAACCATGATTACAGGAACCTTCCTGCATAATTTAGATTAACGTAGTGCAACAGTGTGCTCCTTTGTAATTTTAGCCTTTCACTCCCAATATGATACCAATAATTGCAACTCCGATGACGAGGAGAGAAATGATGATGCACAGGGTTTTTCTGGATTTGCGCTGCAGATGCAAAAACAAAAACATGTTTACAAATGAAGTGAAGCATCTTCACAGAAACTGAAAATCATTTGGCTCGTTTTTAGAGGAAAATCAACAGTAACTTATTGCCCTCAAGTTTTTAGTTGTATTTTTTTGTTGTTGTTTTTGTCCTTAAAAATCTCTTCAATACACATGGGGCTATTTTTTCAAAAATATTCATCTTCAGTTAATGGTACAATTCAAGGAGTAATTATTCAAACTTTTGTTGGTAATTTTTCTGAGGTAGAAGACACAGAAAAATGAAAGTTACTGATTCAAGCAACAGACTGAGGTCACCTATGTATGAAAACAAAGAACAGCTTAAAAGCTTATACATTTTAAAACTTTCATCAGTAAGTTGTTCTTCAAATTGCCAGTTATAAAAAATAGTCATGGCTGTTTAAAGCACAGCATAGGAAATATAATCAATAATACTGTAATAAATATGTCTGGTGTCAGATGGGTACTAGACTTATTGGGGTAATTGCTTTGTAAGGTATATAAATATTTAATCACTAAGCTGTACACCTGAAACTAATATTGTATGTCAACTGTAACTGAAAAATAATTGTTTTAAAAAACTGTTCTTCAAAATGGTTTCTCTGAAAATATCAGCAAGTGTAAATGTTTGGCAATTTTTCCCAAGGTTAATTTATTAGTTTTGAAAAACATCATTCTCATTCTTTAATGTTAATGAAAACTGCTTTCAATATCTCAACATACTAATAAAAACAAAAAGGCAAAAAAAATTAAGACATATTCATTTAAAATATGAAGGTTAAGAATTTGTTCCATTCCATTCTTCATTCCTAGCCCAGTTGTAGATTTCTGTATTTCTTTAATGGCTTGTGCATCTCACAGCAACATGCAGGAATCCTTTTTCTTACAGAGAAAAAAAATTTGTTAAATTTACTTTCTGTCAACCAGATGTACCATTTAATTTACAAAAAGATATGTTTCTGACTCTGAAGTTACTCTAGAAACCATGAATACTTTTAGTACTCCACAGGTTCATCTAATTGTTCCACTGAGTACTCCTTATACAGAAAACACAATTCCTCTAAAGTTTCAATACCATGTTTACATTTGGCCCAGACCCCGCCTGGTTACCACAGACACATGGGTACTGCACCTTAATTAAGGTAGTTGTTGGTATTCCACTGCAGTATAGCTGCTACCTGGGGAAACCTCTGTAAGGTGGGGTAGTGAGGTCCTTAGGTTGCTGCAGTGATAAGAGCATTGATCACCTTCCCTTTTGCTCACGGTCCACCCATCCTAGTCAGAAGCATCATACTTTGCAAAAGCATGAGGTTATTATCAAGGCTTCCAAAAGCGACTCTTTTCTCCTCACTGCAAGGCCTCTGGACTTTGTACAAGGCCAGCTCCAGTTTCAGAGGTGCAGCTTGGGAAGATGTGTTTCTTCTCCCCAGGGTGGCTGCAGGCTTTCCCTTCCACGAGGAAGAGGAAAAGCAAAACATTTATATATCTACATTCCCCGAAATCCAGAAACAAAATGAAATAATACGTAAGCCCAGTCATGACAAATCGTGCTGAACACCTAGTCTGAGCAGTTATATCTGTTGGCATTTACCCATATGTGTGTGTGTGCACTCTACTGTTTATGAATAATACAGTCTATGACATAATGACATTAATTCCACAAAGGTCCACATCTGAGTCACATGCACAAAGACAGTAAATAACAGTTACTCCATCAGTGACTACATCTGGCTGCAACCCAGCATTTTCTACATAGCCTCACTGTTCAGTGCGTATCACTGAATATGCAGGATCTGTCCACTGAAAAACGGCCTGGAAATCAAAGGGAACTTTTATGGTGAGTAAAAAGCAACTGAAAGTATCTAAGATGGTACAAACCTTAGATATTTTATAAGAAAGTAGCAAGGTCTAAGAAAATAATTGTGAGCAACAACAAAAAAAATGGAGTTTTGAAAGGGAAGTCAAATCCTAAGGTGGAATTTAGTGGTTTCCAAAGAGCTGGGCCTTATCCTTGTTGAACATCAAAGGTCTACGTAGTAGACGGCAGATGAATAGTTCATGGTCCTAATATTCACATAGTACTGTGCACATACTTTATATTTAACACATACATACAGACTCCTTATATTTGACACATACATACACGCTCCTTATATTAACCTCATTTACTTAAGAAATCAATTTATTCCTAGAGAAGGGTTTGCCGAATGCTGACAGAATACGGGACAGTCAAGGACACTCCAAGTAAAACAATTTCCCCAGGATCTGACGAGATGGCTCTGGGACAAAAACCCTTGCCTCTTTAGTCCATGGTGTCATTGACAAAAAAGGGAAGAAAAGGTACAAGGGACAGTGAGACACAGAGGCTATCAAAGAGGATCCCGGGCAGGAAGGTCACAGTGACACCGGAGGTTGTCAGGAAGGCCTGGGGCTCGCCACCGCGGCCCGCAGAACTCTAAACACTGCAGTTCCTAGCCCCGTGGCCACAGCTCTGCTTCAACCCTGAAAACGATCAAGCTAAATCCAATGTCACACCAAATGGTGTATTTCCGGCCTGTCTTCCACAGGGTTTTAAATTCAACATCTCCAGCCACTTTAATCCTGATTACATTCTCTCTCTCTCTCTCTCTCTCGCTCTCTCTCTCAAGTTCGGGTTACAAGACAATTTATTACAGTTAATATTACCTGATAGTCTGATGCCCTTGAGAGTTGCTGGTTTGCTTGTTGAACGTGCACCTCTGCATTCTCAACGTTTGCCTCTATACTATCTGGGAAATAAAACCGACACACACAGCTGTTAGACACGTGCTGATGCGACAGCGGTAGCGCTGTACGCATCACTGAATTTCATTCACGGTAAGATTAAACATGTTCATTATTCAAAGGTTAATGTCACCATGTGAACTTTTATTTAGGGTAAATATAGGGAACTAAAGGCGGTCACTGGTTCTGTGGCCGTCGCCAACGTACTTCCGTGCAGACACCCCACCCTCCCCGAGGGCCCACGGAGGCCTCTCAAGCTGTGACAGTTCCCCCTCTCGTCCCGAGGCCTGGAGCAGGCGCGGCGCAGCGCTGCGGCAGGAGACCACTGTCTCAGTACTGAGATAGAGCCTGAACTCTCAGTTTTAAGAGTCTCACTTGGAACCATTCGCACAGTCTCAACTCTCAGTTTTAAAGCTCACACTATCAAACTCATCCGCCCCCTGTTGCAGACATCTAGTACGTCTCATAGTCGTTTCCTCTCGTGCCTTGGATATATCTTAACTTCTGACTCACGATGCTTTTTTCAGTCCTTTTCCTGTTATCCTCATTGGCCATTATGATTTCCAATTTGATGACCTTCTGACAGCCTGACCCCCTGGTTCCTTGAAGACACATTTTTCAAAGACTTTGCCTGTTCCCCTTTTCTCAGCCACTCCCTTCCATGATCCTATCATAAACCTGGTCATTACAAGTAACTGCAGCTTCTCCCTAATCTCAGCTTCAAGTCTCAGTCTGTGATGAGCACCTGCTCTTTGCCGCTCACTAAGCCCTCGACCTCACAGGCCCTAGCACTTTCACACCCCCTGCTTACCTAGCTTGGGAGCCCGCGGCCATCATTTACCATTGCCTTCTTGCATTCATCCTCTCATCCCTGTAGTCACAGTTACATGACATAACCCCGACCTGTCCCATGAAGTTGAACATGGGTGCAAAAAAGAAAAACCTACTGCTGACTTATTTCGCTTTGAATTTGTGACTGCCCAGCAAGCCCGCCTCATGTCCCCGACTCCCGGAAGACTGTGGCACACTTCCTCCTTTCTCCTGAACTCTCCATGCCTCATGTACCGTCACTTTCAGCCAGGGACCTTCATTCTAGATCACGGAGGTAACAGGAACAATTAGAAGACAGTTCCACACCCTCCTTTTGCCCTACTCATAATTATAGGTGACAATACACCCATGCCTGATGTCTCTCCTGTGCACAGCAGAGGAGACACTGTCATTGCTTCCATCTGTGCACTTCAGCCTATTCCTTGTCACCTGACTCTGAACACCTCAGCCCCTGTGACTTCTGACATCATCTCCATCTTCCTCTTGCTCACAGTACTCACTAAAGATGCTGGCGCACTTCTGCCTAAAAGGCCTTCGCCCTTGCTGCTCCTTCTGCCTGGAATACCTTCTCTTACTTGCTCTCTTACCTCCATGATGTCTTCACCAAAATGTCACCTCTCAGTAAGGCCTTACCTGACTATGCAAAGCAGCAGCATTCCCCACCATCAGCAGTCCCAACCCCTTACTGTGGCCTTCTCTGCCCCCATAGCGCTTATCACGATTTATTTACTTTTCTTTTTTTAATTTTTTTAATTGTCTCTCTTCCTCAATTAGATTAGAATATCTATAAAGTCAGGGTGTTTTATCTGTTGTTTAACTTCGGCTGAATCCCCAATGCCTGGATTTGTGCCTGGATACAGTAGGCACTCAATAAATATTTGTTGGATGCATAAATGGTTTACAAAATTTTATCCTGTGATCTACTCAGGTGAAAGAAGAGGCTAAGAATGGACAAATAATAGTTATATTAAACTACAGGTTCAAGTATTTCAACTGAACCATATTCAGAAAACATATTAAACATATGTTTAGAGATATATATTTTTTCATATTTCAAAATGATAAAAATAATTAGGATCCTGATCAGTGCTGACAATTACACCTTAAATGAATCACTATTATACTTAAAACTTAAAGGGAGTCTTAGTCACTGATTTATTTTAAGAATTTTTAAAAAAGAATTCTGAGTATCTAATACTTCTAAATTAATCTATATCAAATAGCTACCTATTCCCTTTAATCTAAAAGGCAAGATAATACACAGTTATAAATAGCACAAATTTCCCCCAAAGTCTTTATTGTGATAAGAATTAAATTGGGATAAGACTAAAACCAGAGATCCTGGAAATAAGCTCAAATGGTGTTAGATGGTGCCTTCCACGATCTCAGCAGGAGGCCCTGATTAAATCTGAGTATTCTGAAATAAATGAGGCTGGTCATTTCAACCTCTAGGAGCCAAAAATGAGATCTGTTTTAGATAATGCCAAGGTGATGTTTTGTCTGCTGTAGACTATGTTTTTGATTCCGGAGTAACCAAGAAACAGGGAGGGAGCAGTTACTCCTGTCTGAGAAGTAACCACAGGTAAAGTGCACGTAGCTTGCTCACACCTCATGGAATCTAATCAGCAGAGCTTACCTATCACATCTCCTTGCTCATGAATCATCATTCCCAAATCTTTAAATATTTCATTAATATCCATAATATCAGCCTAAGAGAAAAAGGCACATATTATAACCAGAAATTCAGTCCCCAATCCACAGAAGGGGAAAATAAAACTACCCCAAACCACCATACATAGAGACTTAATAGATACATTTTAGAAATATCAGAGAAGTATTTAACTATAAGCAATCCCAAGTAAGTCGTTTGACTAACAGTAACCAGTTCTCTAAAATAAGTTTGACATTAAAAATATGAAGCAAGGCAGGATGGAAATGAAGGATCTCTATTAGGAAACGGCCGTGGTTACTAAGTTTATGTTATATAACCTGATTTGTTCTGTTATCATAAACATTAGTTTGCTACTTCCTCACAACAGTATAAAATACTGTTATGACGTTTTCCTTGTAAAAATATATACATATATCAACTTGACAACTTAAAAAAATAAAACATGAGATATAAATTTAGAGTCTCACATTAATAAATTTAAATATGCAGTGGAATGGTGATGGATAAAAACATTATAAAATTACTTTTCTCCAATATATAATAACTATTATTTGCCTGATTAAAGAGTAAAGTTTAAATACTTTATTCAGGAGGGGTGGGGCCGTTTACATAGTCATCCTGTATCTTAGTTTCCACATCTGTAATCTGGTGATGATAATGTCACAGTTAACCATTTCACAGAGATTTTATGAGAACTAAACGAGACAAAGAACGTGCAAAACTTATCACATAGTACTTGGCCACATGGACGCCCTCAATAAACTGTAGCTATTGTTAGCTATTCGTAGCCTGCCTTCTAGGGAACTGGTAGGTACCCTAAGAACTAAGGCTTTAGATTTCTTTGGTGTCACAGACATACTAAACAGAAATAAAATACTTTCAAAGCCCTTGTGAAAGTTATTATTCATGCAGGTGAAATGTGTATCATGTGCCACAGAAGCCATCCAGACTCCCTGGACAGGCAGACATCTCTAGACTGCTCTTTTTCTCAATGCTATGGGGACCTGCGGTGACTTAACAGGGGGGGAAAAGGCATGCAAGAAAGTACCTTCTCTCATCCCAGCACAAATTCTAAAGAGATTATTTATTTTTTAAAAAGGAATCATTCTAATTTCTATGAGAAATGCCACCAAATTGATATATTTACAGTTTCCTTTCTGGACCCCTCTCCCAGCACTAGCGAAGTGTCTTGAGGACAAAACCCCTAAGAACAGAGCAGCAGTCCAACTCTACACTGTCAACCTTACTTCAAGTTGCCTAATAGAAGACTCTCTCTCATGAATAAGGCGGAGGTCATCCTCTGTAATTTCGTCATCTTGCACTTGCATTTGAGGTTGAGTTTGGCTAATAAGAAGAAAAGAATATGGAAAAAAGAAGGACTATATTAAAACATTAGGACTTCCTTCCTTTTTAAATGGAGTATTTCTTTCAAAGTCAGAGAACTGCTCAAGTTCTCTGTTCTTATATAAGAATATATCAAAAATATTAATAAAATCTTACTCATATTTCACTTCACTGATACTAATTTTTAGTTATGATTTAATTATTGGAAGCTGTATTTGGCAGCTGGGTATTTCTTGTTGGCTGACTTAAACCCCACACAAAGGAATACTCTATATCAAATAATAATAAGGCAACAATATTTATTTGGACAAGTAATCATAAAGTATTATTCCTATATTGGAATATTATAATATATTTATGTATTTTTATAATAAATACTGGCTTAAACTTTTTTTCAATTTATTATTTGTTTTCTATTTATAAGTAACTTAGGACAGTTATGATGTAATATACTGAAAGCTTTAATTCTTTTCTAGGGACCATAATGTATAAACTGTATTTAAATAACTATCTTTTCATCTGTAAAATGTTTTATACTTCTTACCTTTCCCATGATACAAGGTTCCTTTCTTTTGAGCTCTCCTCAGGAAAACTACCCTGTATAATTTAGTAATAGAGTAAATTGAGAAGGGACAAAGAAGAAAACACACAATAATCACATTTCTCGTTATAATAATCTAGACCAATTTACATATGCATGTGAATATATGTGTAGAGAAAAAATTTATTGTTCTAATATCTTAGGTCAAATACTTCAAGTAATAATGAAATTATATCCTAAGATGACAAGGATGGCATTCATTAAATACTCCCAAGAACCATATAATAAATTAATTAAAACGTAACACAGTCTTGGAAACTCCACATTAAGGAACAACAAAACAAATTGTGATAGTTTCTAAGGGATTTTTAAATTAGACTAAGTCATAATTCCACTCTAAATTATCCTATCACTTATTTTCTCCAGGTTCTATTTCTCCATGTGAATATTCTTCAATATTTGTATGATATATTCAGTCTGTTCATTTCTACCTTCATGTAACCCAGGAGTAAAGTGCTCTCTACACTAGCACAAACACTAAGAGCTTCAAGTTCAAGTAAATGTGGAACTATTACTTAGGATTTGACCCTTCATTTTTTCTGACAAAATATTTCTATATTTTTAATATAATCTACAATCTTTTATTCCGTGACATGGACAAAATAACTACAGTAATATAGAACTACATAACTATCATCATTCTTAAAAACTGGCCAGAAACACTTGAAAATTACTCAAATAACTGTATTTCCAAGATATTCACAGATCTTTATGACTGAAAAACATGCCAATGTCATCTTTCATGGGATCCTGACAGAATAGTATGTTCATTTCCACAATGCCTTTTTACATACTTACAGATACTCGGGAACTGGCTCTCACTCGAGCAACAAACTCTTTCTCTTTCTCAGCAGCTTGCCTCTGGACCTTTTGAAAGTTTGTCAGTGATGTTGTGAACTCAGCCACTAAGCGATCCTTCTGGATTTTTCTTTGACGCTAGAGCAAAAGGGGATAAAAACCTACTAGAATCAAGCTGTGAAGTTCTACAAAATTTGCAAAAGTTGTTTGACCATCAGCTGGTTCTTTATTTAATTCTGCAATACTTACTCACTCTCCAATTACAGGGCCTTATTGATAGACTCTCAGTAACATTTTGACATTATGTTCCAATATTGTATAAATTGACCTTGAAGCAGTAAGTCCATAGTGCTAAATTTCTCACTTCCAATTTTCATTCTAAAATCTGGGCTACTTTATTTTAAAGTAGTTCTTCTTCGTCATCATCTTCTTCTTTTTTTTTTTTTAGGGAAATAAAACCTTATATTCTTACCTACGTAATAATGTCCACTAAGTAAGCGAGGAAATAAATATATGCCCTAGGAAACCTCACATCTTGAGTGAGTGTGCATGTCATATGAAGTCAGTTCTGGAAGGCCAGGAAACAATTACACAGGAGGCATTTTCTGAGTACTTACTTAATTATGGGTCAGGGCAAATGTATGGGAATAATTTTTGCTTTATTGAACCACAGGATATTACCTGGGCAATTAAATACAGTTTTGTGTTCTGTGAATTCACATAGAATTCCCCACCCCCACCCTACAATTTCCTTTCTAGCATAACAGTTTAAAGATCTCATAATACTTCTGGTTCCATTTACATTCAATATATCAACAATGTGTTTTAAAGCTTGATACCTGTTCACTGGGGGTGGTGGGCAGAGATCCAAACTCTTTAATGTACTTATCTGTTTCTTTGGCGAGTTGGTTAGTATACTGCTGCTTCTGTTGCCTAAAGTGAAAAAACACACAGTATAGACAAAGAACTAATATATTTTCCTAAGCTACAACTCTGCCACTTGAATCGACCCTGATGATTGGTTTCATAAAAATCACTTTTTTTACAGACTGGCTCCAAATTTGTCTCTGAAAATAAATATTTCAGGTTCTGTTCTTTGATAAGTATTGAGCAAATATTACATGGAAAGGTAACGTTACAGTGCAGGTAACCAAATCTTGAGAAATAAATGTCAGTAGCCATTTAGAAAGGAAGATAATTCAAGGACTGTGAGATGTCTGATGTTTGAGCTACTGGGGGTGTGGGAGCCTTTTATCTGCATCCCACAGTTGGGAGGTCATTAATAAGTAAAGAGGATTTGTCGCCTTGGACTTTGCTCCGTTCTCAGGTCTAAGGGTAAATCTGCCCTTTCATGCTTTTCTACCTGGGCATCGATATCATAAAGACCCTTAAAATGAAAAAAACGGGGAAGAGGTAGTAAGTAATAGTACAAATCTATTATTACTTAAGTTCATTGCAAGAAAAAAATAGCATTTTTTTCTGTAGAGTGAACAGGATACATTAAAAGAAGTAAATTATATCAGTATGTATGTCTATCTTGCCCGCTAGCTTATAAAGCAAAAAGTAAGATTTCTAACAAGAACGTGACACTAAAAGCTTGTATTCATGTGGTGCTTTAGAAACTGCAACATCGGTACCCCTCATATATATTATCTCTCATTTTAAACACATATTAGTCACACTTAGGAACCTTTAAAATAATGAGATACTATAAGAGTATATTTAAATACAGGTATCTACATTTGATTGATAAGGAAGAATTATAACATTTATATCTACTTCCTGAGTACCTTATTTTTAATGTCTTTTTAAATCTTTAGAAAAAGTAATACAACTAGAATTCTATAAAGAACACTTTAATGATGTCTACATATTCAGAATCTCCACTATTAACCCTAGCAAAATATTGTAACTATTAAGAATTATGTGTTTCTATTTTATTTTACCTTATTTTAATAAATGATGGCTTATTATTTAGATTTGAGCATTTTTACCATCTTGACATCTATACATAACAGAAAAGTACAATACAAATTACAGATAACTATAAACTCTTTAAATTGTGCTTCATAAAAAAAAGAATGATTATTAATTATCTTTTAATTTCTTCATTTCCTCCTTCCAGATCTAACGTTGTTTGGCGTATCACTTACTATGTATATGTTACTTGAACTTTGTAGCTGTAACTGCACTGGACTAAGATTTAAAACTCAGGTTCAGAGTGATGTTGGGCAAATCATCAAACCCCCACTAGACAGGTTTTCCTTATAAGCAAAATGTAAATTGTCTTTTTGATTTACCTCACTCTGACTTTATATGGTTCAGATGAGAAAATGTATAAAAACACTTTTTAAAATCTTAAACGCCACAAAGTATTCTTGCTGCTCATCTAACAGCATATTAATTTAAACATGTACTATATAACTTTATTAAAACATTTTTTAAAAAAACACATTAATACTTTATGAAATTCAAGTATGTAGTATAAGCTTTTGGGTACTAGTTCATATTGGATACATATTATATCTAAACCAAATAAAAATCTGGTCACCGTAGCACTCTAGCTGTGGAGAGTAAATCATACACACAGAGAAGCTTAGAGTGCCATTTTTCAAAAACCATCAGAAACAACCTATTTAAAATGTATAACAAAAATAAGAACTCCTGCTTTGAGAGAGTAAGCCAGATCTTTAAAAGAAAAACATCTGCCTACTTTGAACAGGGAAAAACTTACACAAAAGCTTGGTACAAACAAGGGAGCAGAAATGCCTTATTAATTTTCCATTGTTTTCTCCAGTAAACACAACACTATATACTCTATCAAAAAAATAACAAGTTACTTTTCTCATTTTTTTTTGTTTAATTAAATACTTACAGCTGCTGCCTCAATTCAGGTGAATCTTGAGGTGTTCCAAGTTGATTCAGAGTCCTCTGTATTTCCACAGCTATTATGGTAGAAAATAAGTGTGTAATTGTTACAGATGTTAAGGCAACAGAAAATAAGTTAGAAATTAATGTAAGCAATTTGGCAGTTAGAAAAAGAAAAATAAAGATAAATATAGTAAATAGTTAAAAAGAAATAAATTGCTTATTTGAATCTAATTAAGAGATAATGCATTAATTTTCAAGAAGTTCTGTGGGAGTATTAACATATGAAATTGCACTTATGATCTGAAAGTATTATATTCTTCCATCTTCAATCAGGATATTTAGCACAAAGACTTTCACTTAAAAACTGTGAGAAAAATAATTGTAACAATTGTGTGATTCACTGAAATATACAGTAAATGAATTGTAGTTAATAGGCAAGGAAGGAATAACAGAATCAGAAAAAATCATTTTTCAATTATCTCTGTAATAAGTGATTCAAGCAAGGATCATCAAAGGATGCTAAATCCACAAGATATTCACAGGACCTCAAATTATCACCACATATATGACATTAATTACAAAAGAGCTAACTTCATCAAAAATTTGTATCTTAATACAAATAATCAAATTTAGCACCATCAATGGTACAAACTAGCACTATGAGCATCCTGACAATGCAATAATAAAGTCAAAACATGACCTATGTATTTTCCTTGCCAAAATATTTAACCCTCAACTAATCATAACAAAGAAGTCAGACCAGACTTCTTTCTTATGGGATAATGTAGATTGTGAGATAATCTACAAAAGAACTGGCCTGAACTTAAAATGCCAATGTCACAGAAGGAAAAAAAAAATTGAAAGCAGGGGAGCTTTCTAAATTAAAACGAAAAGCCTCAAATAATAAAACATACAAAAGGTAATATGAGTTTTGACTGGTTTCTAAATTAGGAAAAAAATGCTATAAAAATTGTGGGGACAGTTGAAGAATTTGAACTTAAAATTTGAATTTGGAGTGAGAGATATTAAATAAACATTAAAAAATGTTAATAACTGGCCCTGCCAGTGTGGCTCAGCTGGCTGGGTGTTGGCCCGCAAAGCAAAAGTTCACCAGTTCGATTCCTGGTCAGGGCACACATCTGGGTTATGGGTTTAGTCCCCAGCCGGGGTGTGTGCAAGAGGCAACTGATTGATGTTTCTCTCTCACATCTATTTATCTTCCCCTCTCCTTTCCTCTCTCTTCCCCATCTCTAAAATAAATAATACATAAAATATTTTTTTAAAAAGTCAGCAATTGGTGAACACAGCTGAAGGTATATAAAAAATCCACTGTACTATACTCTTACTTTTCTGAAGGTTTAAAATATTTAAAATTAAAAATAAAGAGTTTAAAATTCATGCTGGGCTTATACACCAGAAGTCTAGGACCACTGCAATTAAAATTTTTTAAAAAAGGCTCCCTACAATAGGGGAGGGTTCAAACAAACAAAACGTCAAGAATAAATAAGTTGAAAATCCAACACAAGGTAAGGGACTTTCACATTTTCAAGAACTAGAGAAAACGAACTCAATCCACCTGTTCTTTTCATTAAAAATAAGTGGCTTACTTATACAGCTTAAATGCTTTTAAATAGTCATTATTTATTTATGGGGTCAAGGGAATGAATGCATCCCGAAACACAGGACAACTTTTGTTCACTGAGGATGACATAATGAACATTGCTTTCAAGTCAAAGCTGAAAAATATAAATACTGAAGAGGAATCATACAGTATATAGCAATTGTTAACCATTTAGCTAGTTTCAAAGGAATCTATTCTTGCCTTTATTTTGGCAGATTTTTCTCTTGTAGGGTAGAGAATTCTTCTTTGGTGTTTTTAACTTATGGCTGCTTGCAATTAGTTATATATTTTCTTTCTGATCTCAACAGATTTTCTTGGACTATCACAAAAAGGTTTAAAACCTTTTTTTTAAAAAAAAAGTTGACTGATTAACTGAAGTGTAGACTTCTATAGGATAAAAGTAGGCATTTACCTCCTCTCTAGAGGGTGCCTGTCTTTTTAAAAAGGTCATATTAAGTGAGAAAAAATAAATTGTTCAATTAAAGGATATCAGGAAAACTCACTAACCATTTTGGGGTTACAGAACCCTGTCTTACCTCATATAACAAAATAAATATGCAATAAACTATTAATTTAAACATTAAAAATTGAAACCATTAAACCGCAACATTATATTATAAAAATGACAACATTACAGTCAAAACTCATATTACCTTTTGTATGTTTTATTATTTGAGGCTTTTCGTTTTAATTTAGAAAGCTCCCCTGCTTTCAATTTTTTTTTCCTTCTGTGACATTGGCATTTTATTTATAATCTTATTTATGATCTTGAGTGAGGTATAAAATATTATCTAAGTATGACACAAAACTACAAACCATGAAGGAAAATATAACAAATTGACAAAACACACAAAAACTTTTAAATGTTACATTAAAAATATATACATGTTAAAATATATATAAATAACATGATTGTGTGTATACATGGCAGAAAATATCTGTAGACTATGATGGGCAAAGATGTTAATATCCCAATATTAAAAAAACACTTAAAACTTAGTAATAAAAAATAGCCCAAGGAAAAAATGGACAAAAGATATTATCTTGAAATTTACAACAAGCAAATAAACATGTAAGAAATTCAACTTCATTGATAATCAACTTCTCACTTATCAGATTGGTAAAAATTAAGAAAAATAGGCAGGTAAGAATATAATTATAATCAAAAGCCTTAAAAACAAAAGGTAATATATAAGAAGAAACAATAGCCATATTGTATAAGGAACCAGAAATAACTGAGAAAAGGCCAGAGAAGCCAATACAAACATGGGACAAGAACAGGAATTTTAATAATAGTCACTGAAAAAATGAATTTAAAAAAAATGAAAAGTATACCAATCCTGGGAAGGATAAATAATTTTAATGTATGAATGCTATGTAAAATTATTTAACCATTATAAACAATTAAGTTCAAAGTATATGATTCTCTTACCAGAATGCTGTATGAAACTAATACGGAATAATACTGAATGTAAACTGTAATTAAAAAAAAACAAACCCCAAAAAACCTGTTACCCACCAGAGAGAGAGAGAGAGAGAGAGAGAGAGAGAGAGAGAGACAGAATATTAGGCTGAACTGCTTCTGCTCCTGATAGGCCCAGCGGGAACCTAAACCCAGCAACTGGTTAGTCCCCTAGTTTTGTTTGTTTGTTTTAAACAGATACTGCAGTAGCCCGGGCTTCACCCCTCTGGCCTTAGGGTTTTAGGGAAAGGAAGGGATACCCAGAAGCCACTGGGGGCTCTGCACTCCAACAGAGCGGTAAGCCAAGAGCAACTCCTATTCTTGTCACAATGCTCAGAAATGCCACCAAAAGCCTGACAAGCTGAGAGTGGGGAGGCTGTTTCTATTCCCACTTAACTGGCCTGTCTGGAGGATGCAGAAGATAAACAGTCAGGGTGCAAGCCAGCAGAGCCTGCACAGCTAGTGACTCCAACTGAAATGCTCTTCAAAATGTGGTATTTACTAAAGCAGATCATCACAATCTCTGGCACCTTGTATAAACCTGCTGCTACGATTAGCACACTTTGCTCTATCCTAAAAAAAACAAAAAACATGAGAAGGAGTCTGTTTTCAACTGGACAGAAGAGGCGTGAGCCTTAATAGTTTTATCTTGGTTTATATATGCTCCTATCTCTGTAGTACAAGTCGGTTTTCAAGGATGTTGATCATCTCCTGCAGGACACTACATTAAATCAACGCATTGCTGGTATCTGCTTTTAGAATCTGAAAAGCAAGAAGCAACACGTACTTAGGGGCCTTGGAAGGATGTTGCTATGCCAGCAGGTAGAAGATAAATTCCATGAAAATATGGGGCCCTCAGTAAAAAATCTTGGTCCTTTAATCGGTTGAGATTGTCGATGTACTTCTGCAAAATAAATGACAAACTGCTTTTCTTTTTTTGAGTCTCACTACTAAGAGAGAAGAGTGCTTGGTGAGAATTACACTGCTCTAACCCATTTTACCGAATGCCGCGAGAGGCTGCCAGCTCTGGCTTCAACTCCACCAAAGGAGAGGCTACGCTCGTTCAAGCGGTGGCACAAGCAGCTCTGCAACATGGCTTTAATGGCCCAGTCGATCCAATGGTAACTCAAGTGCCCATGTATTTTCAGGATGATGGATAAAACCAGTCCCAAGTCCCAACAGAAAAAAAAAGCCCATAGGAGTCCCTTAGAATTTCGAGGCAAAATCATGCTGTGTTTGGCAAACCCGTGCTGTCCTTCTGAGGAACAGTTCTGATCTTGCTACTGAGCCCTGGATTAAAAGTCAACAATGGTATACTAGGTAACCAAGTGACCTGCCCTGCCCACTATCCCTTAGGTGTGATGTAACCTCGTTGGTATATCTCTTACTGTATTCGTTCTATATAAGTCGACCTGTCCCTAATCCCAATTCCTATAGCACTTGTTCAATGGGATAATAAACTAGCAACGGAGGAATAAAAGGCATAGATAGGCTCACCAACACGGACTTCCCTTCTCAGACTCACATGCTTCCTAGCAGAGCCATATACCACTTTGCAGCAACAGCAGCCAAAAGTAAATATGTGCTACGGCGCCATTCCTGGCAATATCAGCCAGCCACCCAATGGCAAGATGATTATACTCCTTCCACCTTGATGGAGGCAGAATTTTATATTCACTGAAATGGTTAGCACCACAGACCACCCCCAGATTCTACCCGCTTCCCAGTCCATATATAATCACAATCATGGTATTCCACACACCCGTGCTTTTGAGCAAGTGACTCATTTTACAGAGAAAAAAAATTAACAGATCTTCAAGGACAATGGGATCCATTAACCTGCTGTACTCCGTTATCTAGAACCTGCTGCGCTTCCTGAATGTTTAATGGTCTGTTGAAGACTCAGTGATGGTGTCGCCTGGGAGAAAGCATCTTGGAAAGCTGTCCTGCAGGACCTGTATGCTCTCAAAGGACAACCACTCCAGGGTGTT